TACATCTAGACTTATTCTAGAGAACAGAGGGAAAAACCTAAACTCTGTAGAAATAGGCGTGGTGTCATTAGCTACCTTGCAAGCTTTAGCTTCTGGAGAGAACTAAAAATAAATAAATACAAATAAATGACACTTACAAGGATAAAGATTTTTAACTCTTGACACATTCTTCTTCTGTCTACAGTTTTGTTTTTCTTACTTGCTTGTGCTGAAAGTTTACTGATCATGGAAATTTTAAACTCTTGTTATCTTACCAGCCCTAGTTGAAATATTAAAACTCTGTAAGTCTTAATAAAATATCCAAGCAACAGTTTGCCTAAAGCAGAGGATCTCATTATCTTGTTACCCACCCCGCCCGGGGAAGAGTGTACCTAATCTATGGCTAAATTGTTTAAGTGTACTCTAAGTTAATATAAATACATAACTGTATGTATTAATCTATTAAGCATTGGGCAAAAACTTCTTTTGCCCCTGGAATTCCTGAAAACCAGTGATTTATTAATAAGGCCGATTTTCAGGGTTTGTTTGGTTTTTTCTTCATCTTTATGCACGCTTCAGCTTAGGCATGCCTAAAACTTTTTATGCGTGGTGTTGAGGTAAATGACTAGAACTGACATATAAAATCTCATGAGTTTAGGCCTTGGTCCCAAAATTCCAATTTTAGCTTTAGAGAAAATGTGCCCTTTAGGCATTGGTCACTCGCAGCTGGTTGACCCTGGATGGAGGGAAAAGATAAAATCAGCCCCCTGTGCCTGTTGGAATTGCTTTTATTCCAGGGACCTCCTTTTTGTTTTTTCACTGGGGCTGGCATTAGCTATTTTTTGTCATCATCTGGTGAAATGGAGTAATAATTTTGGACTTTTGGTTTAAATTCTTTGTTTAGAGTCTTCTCTAAATATTTGGGGTCAAATTTTTTCCACTAGCAATAGACAACAAAATTAAGGTAACAAAAAACCCAGAGTGTTTATGTTGGAGCTCTTTATGGTAAACTGCTTAAGTTTTTTTTTTTACATATAAATATATAAACATCTTGAGATGGTTCTTATTATAGAGTTAATGAAAAAAATTGTCACTTCTACTCTGTTCTACTGCTACTTTTGAGAAAACCAGTTTTCAAATTTATTTAAATCAAGTCTCACTAAGATACAGGCATTTAGGGGTAACACTCCAGGTCACAGCAAAAAAACAAAGTGCTGTTTTTAAACCCTGGCCACATGCCTGCAGTAAAACTCTTAAAATTTGGGTATTTAAAGAAATGACCTTAGCCTGTTTCATTCTGTTGTAAATAAAATCTGGGATTTAATCCTCTCTTATAATACATGGGTCTATCAACAATTGGGCTTTCAGGGTACTGGCACAAAAACAGACATGAAGACCAGTGGAACAGAATAGAGGACCCAGATATGAATCCACACAACTATGCCCACCTTATTTTTGACAAAG